TAAATAGATTTAATGATTTAATTGAAAATCAATTCAGACAAAAATGGAAATTCGCTTAGTCGGTAAGTTTGCTGCGGCGGGGGTATTTGTTTAAAAGGGAGTACATCTGCTCATTCATTTGTATAATATTTATTCGAGATTGCAATAACTGTATTATAAGAATACCAGCAGAGTACCCGTCCTTCGTACGGGGTTGGCATATAAGTATAAAATGCTTATTGCAGTTATACTCAACTCAAGCTTTGCATTTGCAATGGTGGAGGACACATTTTGATAAAATTTGCTTCTTTAAATTTACATTATACTATTATAGTATTACACATCTACCATTGCTATAATATTCTAGCACTTCACCTAAACAATAAAGAAAAATAAATTGTTACAAGTTCACAAAATATCAAAAACAATTCACGAAATTAAAAAAAATAAACAACTGTAAACAATCCTAATTTGACAGTTCTCATTGCATGTCACAGTATTTTGTTGCTGCTTAGTCAAAATTATCTATTCTCATAAATGTAAAAAAGATTATAGTGTTGCACCCTGTTGGTAAATCTTATAACTTTTAATGCTTTTGCGTATCATAGAACCAACTTTTTTAGTTGAAAGCTGACTAAATTCCTTAATTCCCTTTAAATATGAATACTCATAAGGTTAACATGGGAAACTACAGAGCCACTGGGGCGGAGCCCGAAAGAACTTTTGAGATAAGAATATGCCTATATGTTAATCGGGAATGTGAGCTACCATCATGCCAAATTTCAGCCCAATCCGTCCAGTAGTTTATGCGTGATTGAACTTCAAACAAACAAACACACAAACTTTCACATTTATAATATTAGTAAGATAATATCACCTGCACAACATAGTTTGATGATTGTCGATAAATATGATACATGCCAATTTTTCAAGCACCTATAGGTGCATTAATTATGGACCGTCGATCTCTAGATCGATGTTATGGACCAGATGTAGCCAATTTTTTATTAAAAAAGAACGCAGTTGTGTGAGCCAGTCACAGAATGCGCTAGTGTATAAAATTCTATTTTATACCTTTTTTGTTGCTGGCCAGGTTGATGGGTGATAACAGTTACTATAATACCAGTTTTTGTCTTGACTCAAGGTAGTTTAGTTTTCATTTAAATAATTGTTTTATCGAAGCATATCATACGATACTGTCCTGTTCTATGTTAAGAGAGGTATAACAATCGATAAAAAATGAATTTCGATATTTTAGACCTTAATTACTTATATTGGTCGTACTGAAAATTTTGCATCGCCGACAAGAGGTCCCTTTTTGCTTTCCTCATCATTTAATTATTTAATTATATTATTTTCCCATAAAAACCCCATAAAATTACGGAAAAATAGGATTTTTCCAAAAATGGCTAGAACAATTTTGATAAAAATGTAGTATGTTATAGTCCTTTAAATTCTGAAAAAAATTTTACAAATCCCATTTCCGTATATTTACTCTCACCGCTTACACATGATATAGGTTGTTGACAAAACTTATGGTAGAAAGTATGTGTCAAAATGCTGATACCGTTTATTTGGACTAAAGTCTGTTTATAAAATGGATATTAGAAAAGGGACCACTTGTCTTCGATAAAACAATTATATGTTATAGTCCTTTAAATTCTGAACAAAATTTTACAAATCCCATTTCCGTATATTTACTCTCACCGCTTAAGCCTAGTCCACACATGGAGACTGAGTCGGCCGACTGTCTGCCGACTGTGCGCGGACAGTCGGCAGACAGTCTGTCAACACAGTTTCAGATACAAGTTTCCGAAGTGTTTTGCGTCCACACTAGCCAGCCAGTGTTTCCATGTTTGTTCGTATGGTGACCGAGGAGGACGTAATTATATCCTGTGTGGGCTTCATTTTTCTGAGCCATGGGCCTAATGAATCTAGGAAGAGACTATGATGGACTCAACATTTTCTCGAGCAAGGTTCGTACGATGGTCGCAATCTTCTATCAGACCTTCAGATTAGGTGGAGGATTTAGTAACTTCACGAGGTTAACTTCTAAAGATTTTGAAATTTTGCTGGGCTTTGTTGGTCTTAATATGTTAAACTTGAAGAGATGAACAATTCAATAAAATGTCATATAATGATATAAATCATTGAAAACTAATTCCAAAACTTTCAAGAAACTCAATCCAGCTCTTTTATTACCACCCAAAAATCATAATATTACCGCTTTGCAGTCTAATTAAATGGGCTGAATGTTGAACACCTTCGGCTTGTATCCAGTCTGCTGTCTCCAGACACGTCCACACATGCAGACTTGAGACAAAAGTTTTGTCTCTTGTCTCCGTGTTTCCCATTCGAACGGGAAACAGAAAACACTGTATTTTGTCTCCAGAAACACCGAAATTTGTCTGCCGACAGTCGGCCGACATACTGGAGACAAAATAGCAACATACTAAAGACAGTCGGCAGACAATGTTTCCGCAGACAAATCGCCATGTGTGGACGAGGCTTTACACATGATATAGGTTGTTGCAGGGACGTATTTAGGTATCTGCCGCCTCTAGGCAACAAAGTTTGCCGCCCCCCTCCCCCCTCCCACACCCACTTTTCAGCGCACACCCCGACCTCACTAATATCACCCCAATGGCCAATACATGCCCTGTCAGCTGATTTTGTAGAAAAATAATCGGTAATATTGCATGCTGCATCAACAAATTAAATAACTTTCACCACTATGATGTTTTTAGCTGTTTTACATGCGTTAAGTTGGTAGCTGAAAGTTGCGTTTTGCCGGCCATGCCAGCTGTCATCGTCATTTGGGGCCCGAGCAGGTTCTTACGCTAAATTATTACTAGGGCCGCAAAATCAGCTGATCGCTTACTTTCTTAAAACAATGCATATTAAATACACAATCAGAATCCATAGCATTGCAATAGAATTGTTTTATTGTCACCGCTGCCTAGCAACTATTATTTTAATGTTTGCTGATTCCTCAAATTATTTCTTCACATAACCTTAAAGTTGTAGATGTGTTGTCTATCAGTGTGCATCATTATTGTGGTGAATACTGAATAGTGCTAAAGTGTGGTGAAAAATAGCGTTTGTACCACGGACCGAAATGGTTTTGCAGCTCTTGGTCGTTTTAAGTCGACTTCGTCTCGAACTTAAAAACTATCTCAAGCCGGCGAAACCTCATTTTCGGCCCTAGGTACGAAATATACTATTTCATTTCGACCCCTTTGAACGGACGTTTTTTGCGCAGTTTTTACGCAAAACATTCTGACTGGGATAGGCCTACACGGAATGCAACTTTTTTTTTATCTAAACAGCATTTTTTAATCCCATTTCGCGGCTTGAAACGGCACACAAATTGTATACAATGGTTCTTAACGCTTTTCGTTGAACACTTTTAGTCAGATCCACTTGAGAGACGTGCTATTGGCTTTGATTTGAAATGAAAGAAATATGTTAACTTATATTATTTTTTAATTTACAAAAAACACATGAATCGCAAAGAAAAAATTACGTACTTTTACAGAAAGAATATACAATTTTAAACTAGCTCAGTTTGGTACAGTAGTAAGTATTTTGTTCACACTTTCCTTCTTGATTTTAACCTAGCAAAAGAAACTTGCAGCAGTTGCAGCTAGCGCTGCCGCTGCGTAGTGGTGTATGAAGTAAACAAAGGGGAGTGTTTTCTTCGTTTATCACTACATAGCGGCCGACACGACGATCCGCTCCCCCGGCGAACGTGTCCGCCAGACCAATAGGGCAGCAAGGACAACTCTACACAGCTGTGAAATAAACTATTGACGTTTGTTTGACTTTAATGCGTTCTGAAATAGTTTTATACTTAGTCAAAATATTTGAAATGGCTGTTTTGCCGTTCCCAGAATTATTTGCAAAAATTCTTTTAGATTAAAACCTCTGTAATTTTATTTTTTACCCTCAAAATTTTGCCGCCCCTAAAATTTGCCATTCGGAAATATGTGCCTGGGTTGTTGGCAAACTTATGGGAGAAAGTATGTGTCAGAATGCTGATACTGTTTATTTGGACTAAAGTCTGTTTATAAAATGAATATTAGAATTCATAAAATGGACCACTTGTCGTTATGGCGAAATAACATTGAGCGACAGAGGTAGGCTACCTTTTCTCAGACCGCTAAGAAAATGATTTATGTCGACCTTTTACGTCTTCAACTCGATTTTTTAACCGATACTGTCCTGTTCTATGATAAATGATGTATAACAATGGATAAAAAACCTAATTTAGATATTTTCGACCTTAATTACTTATATCAGCAGTACTGAAAATTTTGCATCGCCAACAAGAGATCCCTTTTCGCTTTTCACATCACATATAGATGGGAAGTCTACAGTACATCAAATAGTCAATGATATAAGCACAGATAAAACATATGTTTTATCTATGATATAAGTCAAAATCGAAAATTCCCGACAAGAGGTCCCTATTCGCTTTGCACATCACTATTAAAGTGGACAAGGTTGAGGAAAGAGGGAATTGAAATTGAAATACTGTAAGGAAAATGAAAACGAAACGAGTAAAAAAACCGAAAAAACAACGAAAAATCACTAGTCGGTTAGTGGGACTAGTGGGAGTGGACAGTGGAGTCACGGAATGCAGTGAGTGGTCGGTTCTCGGTTCGGTACAGACCCAGACTGTCATTCCATCCATTCCACTCCGCACTCGTCGTCGACGTCAACTCGTTTTTCTTTGACTTTGATTCTTTCGTCCCGTGTAGGCTTACTCTACTACTCGCCGTGACTCGTCTCGTCTCGTCACTCGGTCGACGACTCACTCACAACACGAACACAAAACATAACAGACAACAAGAACACTGAACGACTGAACACACAGCTCAACTTGAGTTGAGGTTGAGACTTTCACACACTAACCCTACTCTACTCTACTGCTATGCTACTCTCACTCTCTGCTACTCAGTACTCACTCACTCAAATCTCAAAGTTCAGTACAGACCGTAGGCCTAGAAATCCAGAAAAGAATTCATAGAATAATAATTACAGTATTTACCTAGGCTGAGGCATAGATAAAACATACCTATGTTTTATATGGCTTAGGCTAGTAGAATTAGAATATGACATGTGAATGAACCGAACAAGCAAACGTAAAATCGGTAAAATTGACACATTGTTTGACTGATGTGTTGCTTTTATTTAGTCGCTTGCTTGTGTGTCTGGCCTAAAATCCCTAGAAGGTAAGTTATGACTTAATTTAGGCTATTTTCCTAAATGTGACGTAGGCCTAGGCTAGATTCTTAAGGCATACCCTAGGTTAGCCATAGGCCTAGTTAGGATGCTATCTTTTGGATGCTCATAATAGCCTGCAATCGATGCTCAGCAGTTACTTTGGAGAAAAAAATCGCATGAAGGTTTCTAAACGAATCGATAGTTTCAATCGATACTAGCATAACCCAGTTAAGAAACTGTATCCAAAGATTCATAGCCTATTTGGGTATACTTCCATATCTGTTGGCACAAACAACCGAATGAAAATATCAATTGACATATTGATTATTTCATGCGATATATTATTTGGTTAGTTAGGTTATGTTAACCTATTAACCGAACGAGATATCAAATTTAAAAAATAGGCCTAATGATTGATATTTTTATTCGGTTGTTGACAACAGATAAGTTATGAAAGTCTACCCTTAAAGGCCTAGCCTAGTTGAAAGTTGGCTAAAACATAGCCTATTATAGGCCTAAGTCGGTCAATTCATTTTATTTGATTTAAACAAAAATTTGTTACACCTAGTGTGTTATACGCCAATGGCAATTTTTTTTGGTTTTGAAAGGGATTGGTCCAAAGCTTGGTAATTATTCCATATAGGTGCCTCCAAACGAAAAAATCCAAATAAGTATACCATTATTTTTTCACAGCTGATGAATATTTCTCAAGATATCGCCGTAATAATATACAAAATTAAAATAAAGAAGGTACGGTAGGATGGATGACATTTACAAGTGCAATGAACTATGGGTTAAGTAAGCCAACAGCTTATTGTTTTCAATCATAATCAAGCAAATGGAAGTGACAACTTAAATTAGCTAGCTCTGATTCTGCAATATGAAAATAACCTGATTGTTACACTTTTAACTTTCTAAGACCAATAAGTTAACACATTAAAAAAAATGTATTCTTATTAATGATTTACTTATTGAATTATATTTTGCCGGTTAAAAATTACATAATAAAATGGTGCTATTCTAACATAACCTAACCTAACAAAACCTCTAGAATGTAAGCAAACTACTTTTGATGTCAGGAAAGGCATGTCAGGGTGGTAGGTCGTGCTTAGTGGGAATTGGTGACTGCATTAACCCTCCAAGTGTTATGTGTCGAAAAATCGACACATAACACACTTTGTGTAGTGTTTTGTGTCGATTTTTTGACTCACAAACACTGTTTACGGCGAAGGCTCTATGACTGACAAAATCGGATTGAACTGGATCGAGTTAGGTATCGTTTTATTTGGCAGAATCTAAGCTTTCTCCCGAGGTCTGTCTCTAAGCGCTTTTTTTTCTCGAGCTGATCATATAATTATAGCAGACAGCTGACGTGCGTATTTGTAAACAGCTTGGTTAACCTCGCACCGATGACTGATGTGTTTTATTCCGTTTATCATTGTTTTAGTGTTAAAAATCAAAAGTAGTGATATACGTGGTGCATTATAAGAAGAATTAAGTGATTTTGAAGGGCTGGTTGATGATCCTGAAGAAGTAGTGATATTGATGTAAATTATCAGCCAGATTCCTAGCTATGGTTAGGCTATGCATTCTTAGCTAAACGCTATGTACTGAAATCTGTTTTTTTTCCATAACTTATTTATTTGCAAATCTACTTCCTTATCTAATATATAAAATTCTCGTGTCACAGTGTTTGTCTGCAAACTCCTCCGGAACGACTTCACCGATCGTTATGAAATTTGGTGTGTAAATTCTGTAGGTATGCGAATCGGACGTAAACTATTTCCCGTTTCGAAATTCTTAAAAGGGCTCCGCCCCAGTGGCTCTGGAGTTTCCCATGTTAACCTTATGAGAAATGGAATTAATGAATCTTAACAGCTGTTTCAATTAAACAAGTTGGTTCTGTTCTATGATGTTCAATAGCATTAAAGTTACAAGGATTACCAACAGGGTGCAGCACTATTATTTCTTTTACATTTATGACAACAGCTAATTTGCAACCAAAAGGTGAGTGAGCGTAGCGAACGAGCTCCAAACCCAAAAGTGAGTGAGCGTAGCGAACGAACTTCAACCAGGACGTGATTGAGCGATGCAAACGAGAGATGCGAGTGAGCGTAGCGAACGAGCTAACCTGAAGGCAAGTGAGCGCAGCGAACGAGCTCCAACCTAAAGGTGAGTGAGCGTAGCGAACGAGCTCCAACCCAAAGGTGAGTGAGCGTAGCGAACGAACTTCAACCAGGACGTGATTGAGCGATGCGAACGAGATCATCTTGAAAATTAAACAAAACGGTACTTTCTTTCCATCGGTCTGTCTTAGGGGAAACCTATAACTTAGGCGATACGAAGTTCGCTGGGTCAGCTAGTATTATTATATATTTGTAATCCTCATAAAATTTAGAACAAAGTGGCTATTTTCAAATATTTATAGGCCTATAATTTATACAATTTCATTGAGCGCAAACTTATTTTTTTTTTGAAATTTTCCAAAATTTTTTTTACCTAAAAAATTTTTTTGAAACAAGTGTTTCTTATGTTTTATGTATAATATTGAAGTCCATGATTTTCCAAACAAAATGGTATATAGAACAGTATAACTAACATTGTTTTTAAGCTTCTCAGATCCGTTTTAATAAAACCTTGCAAATGCGCAAAAAATAGGCAAACATTAAGGCCAAAACTAGGGACACTCGGAGGGTTAAGTGTTGTGAAGTTAGGTTAGATTTGGAAGGTAAAGTTTAGGTTACCTATAATGTATCAAGACTTTGAAGTGTTTTTCACTGGATTTTAATTTTACAAAAACAGTCTGCAGGCGCCATAAACTAACAACTCGATACATTATAACCTAAACTTTAACTTAGGCTACCTACTCTAACCTACCTTCAAAGGACTTAAGTTAATGCAGTCACCAATTCACATAAAGCACGACCTACCACCCTGACATGCCTAATTCAGAACTACATGTAGACTAATTAGTCCACCAGCCCATCTATATCTCCATAATGTGACAAAATTCCTATTATAGAAAACATTATTGACTACAGAATCACTTGAAATGTTCTACAACGATGTTATCATGTTTAATCAACGATGTTATTCTTCTCATCAACCATGTTACTCTCTTCACTTAACGAAGTAAAATGACGTCAATAGGCATAATGCTGATGACAGAATCAGAGTGAGTTAATAAAGTTCAAAAGTTGTTACTTCCAGTTGCTTGTCGTGTGGTTGAAAGCAGTCAGCTGTTAGTAGGCTTTGTTAACCCACAGTTCATTCCACTTGTAAATGTTATCCATCCTACCTTCTTTATTGTAATGTTGTGTATTTTTACGGCGATATCTTGAGAAATATTCATCAGCGGTGAAAAATAATGGTATATTTGGATTCAGGAGGTAAAAAACTATAAAGTAAGATATCAAAATTAAAAATTTGTTTGGAGGCACCTATACGGGATAAATACTCAAAGGGTGTTCTTGTTAAGTAAGTACAAGGCCTACCTAACGTCGACCTTTTTGTCAGATAGTTGGCCCATCATTAATTCATACGTAGCCCAATGACAAATGGCATCTGGGTCTGGAAACGATCTGGCATGGATTCAAACCAACGACCTTCAGATTTAAGGCGAGCACTAGAATACCACTCGGATACCATAATGTGCACTAAGTTATGGCATTACTTTAATAAGTCAAAGAAAGAGGTCTAATTAAGTTAGTTCAAGTAAGGTCTACTATACTAAAAAATTGGGGTTTCCTGTTTTTGACCCTCAAAACTTAAAATTTCCCAAATTTTCTCTAGACCATTTTGAAGAGCTTATAAAACAAATAATTTAATACATTGAAGTGTTTCTTTATGATTATTGGTTACGGATGTAGTGACTCGCTACAAGACAATAGGTAGCGCAAGTCACGTGACACTGTTACATGCGCGTGCAGTCTCCCCGCCACAGGCACGCGCGACGAATCGACACAGAACTGTAGTAGTGTGCCCGCTTGCTGCAGATCAACTAGTCCGGATAAGTAGTAGCATAAGAATGTCTAGCTAATAGATATAGGGGTTGGGGAAGGGTGTAGGCAAGGGCAAATTTAATTTAATTATGTAATTTATTAGGTTCTCGAATGGTCGTGGTCTGGCAATCCATATCTGGGGGATAGTATTTTGCATCCCCATTTTATCTATTTACATCACTACCGATGTAATGTCTATAGGCTTATATTTACGTAACATTTACATGCCACTATATCACTGGTGTCGGTGTTACATTTGGACAGGACGGGAGAGTTATGGTAGCAAGATATATTTCTTATGTGTTTCAGCTATCACTTTACCCATTTCTCCCAAATTGTTATTTTTAGTTTTAACATTTTACCATGGCAAATGCATAATAAAAATAAAATAATTGTAATAGATACAGTAACTTTAATCTGAATCAAGTTTTCATTTAAAATATGTTTTCAGATGTACACCTATAGATCACCATTGATGGATGATGAAGATTCCAAGAGAGATGTTAAAGTTTTCACCCCTACAGGTCCTACATTCCCATCAAAAGCTCTTGCTTCTTCACATCCCAAATCAAGCTCTACTCGTAAGCTATTGATTAATTAGTATTGAAAATCTGTGGTTTGATTTGACGTAAAAGTCTAAATATACGGTACGTCTACTTGTAGTAAAGTTTAAAGGAATGTAAAAACGTCATCTTTAAAGATATTTTTTAACCATTTATTGTAAATTGTTTATAGATGGGGCATTTTGTTTTACTGTGAGGTTTCTGAACCATGATGGTGTAATATATTTAATTTGATTGATTTGATTGACATGATTGATTTTAATTCACAGGTTTGCAGATGCATAAACTATTTCATCCAGTTAAAAATCCCCCAACCTTTTTTTTTGTTTTAAAACTTTTAAAATTGTGCAATCTCGGATAGCAATTTTTAAATGGAGGAAGGATGTTGTGGATTTTAATAATTTTTAAATTAGTCTGGCCTTAATTAGTCTGGACTGAATTAATTATTACTGTTTTATTAAGTTTCTGTTTTATAGCAAATTTCCCATCATTAGGGAATAAACATTTAGGCTACTGGAGGTCTCATGGTAAGATTTGAACCTGTGATCAATTTACTTTTTTTTGTTTTGTCTCCAGATGCAAAAAAAAATCTGTTCAAATTTTTAAGATACTAGCTATTTGGCCTGCTCTTTGCTGGGGTAAATTTTTGAATAGAAAAATAAATACCGAAGCGAACTGCAGGTCATACAGCTAGTAATATACATGAGAAGAACAACCATACTACTTTTTTTAAATTCATTGTTAAGCCCCTGAGCTGTAGATAATATTGTAAGAATAGATTCCTTACGTCAATAGCTCATTGAATCGTGAGTTTCACTTCGGTACATGTTTCGACACATTGTCATCATCAGCTGAGTACTAGTAAAGTTTTTATTCACCCGATTAGATGGCTTCGTCATTGTTGAATTAAATAAACACGGGGAAAAAGGTTATTTTGATGAATTGATCAATGCAGAATGCGCCATAAAAGCCATTCCTGATGAGGATTATAAAACTGTCACTCGAAATATAATTTCAAAGAAAATCAACATTAAATATGAAAATAATTCTTACTTATCAGCTACACAAAAACGTCAATATTTAGCGTTAAACAATATAAAGAGTAAACTAATCGAAAACAAAGCCATTCTATGCAAAGCAGACAAAGGTAATACTGCAGTTATCATGTACAAAGATGAGTATGTAAACAAGGTTAAACATTTTATAGAGAACAATAATATCACAGCTTTGAACAAAGATCCGACTCCCATATATCAAGAGAGGATCAATTGTCTTATAAATAAAAGTAAACCACTTCTATCCCCTGACATTATTAAACGCCTAAAAGAGATGAACCCTCATGCACCAACGCTACGTGGATTGCCTAAACTCCACAAAGAAGGAACCCCAATCCGCCCTTAAGTTAATTACATCTCAGCACCAACTTACAAAGCTGCAAAACATTTTGAAAGTATTCTAAAAACTCATATTATTCTTGAAAATCATCACAGCGACTTATATAGGCTTACCTCCGTCAGTAGTCCAAAATTGTGTCTTTTTCAACTAATGTTGTTCAAAGCTTACATGTTTCGTTGCACTGCAACATCGTCAGAGCTTTTTGTCAAAAACATCAAATGATTTATACATAAAACAAAACACGGAACACGAAACATTTAAACACGTAATAATTGATAGCGCTATCGACACGGCACGGCAGCGGTTGTAGGTAGACTGGACACGGGTTAAGTAACTTCGTCCCGTGTCCAGTCCACCTACAACCGCTGCCGTGCCGTGTCGATAGCGCTATCGTGTTATTACGTGTTTAAATGTTTCGTGTTCCGTGTTTTGTTTTATGTATAAATCATTTGATGTTTTTGACAAAAAGCTCTGACGATGTTGCAGTGCAACGAAACATGTAAGCTTTGAACAACATTAGTTGAAAAAGACACAATTTTGGACTACTGACGGAGGTAAGCCTATATAAGTCATTATTCGTAGTCCAGGGGCTATCAGAATGAATAATAATCATCACAGCTTAAAAAATATGTATGAACTCATAGACAATATCAAGAATTTTAACACCAAACCCCATCAACTACTGAGTTCATTTGACATAGTAAACCTATACACAAATGTACCTATAGATGAAACTCTGACGATTTTGAACAACCACCTAAATTCATCAAATACCCTAGAACCTCAAGCAATAGATGAGTTAATGGAACTTCTAGCAGAGATATTAAAACAAAATTATTTTATGTTTGAATACAAATTTTACCAACAAACAGATGGTCTAGCCATGGGTTCACCACTATTAGGGTTTTTAGCCAATATCTACCTCGTTCATATCGAAAATGAACACATCTTTTCAAATAAAAACAAATATAAGGACAAAATATAATTCTACTATAGATACGTAGACGACACAATATTGTTATTCAGTGGAAAAAATAGACAACTAAACCTCCTCCACAACAACCTCAACAAAATAGCCCCAAAACTGAAATTCACCATTGAAATAGAAAATAATAACCAACTCCACTTTCTCGATTTAACCCTGAAAAAGAAGGACACGAAACTTGAATTCAGCATTTACAGAAAACCGACCTCAACTGATCAAACAATTCATGCCAGCTCATACCATCCACATTCACAAAAAATGGGTGCCTACAACTCAATGATACATCGTTTACTAAGTATACCATTAAATAAATCCGATTTTGATTCAGAGGTAGCTATAATCAAACACATCGCTAGGGCAAATTTATGTTGACAGTTTAGTGGACAGACTTATCACCAAACATAAGAACAAACGAGAAACTAACATTGAAACTTGTCAACTAAACCATGAAAATAAGGCTAAATATGTATGTATTGACAAACGAGAAACTAACATTGAAACTTGTCAACTAAACCGTGAAAATAAGGCTAAATATGTATGTATTGAATACAGTCACACCATTCAACACACATTGAACAAATCTATGAGGGATAACAACTTAAGCCTAGTCTTCAACACAAAGAACAAAACAAAAAACTTGCTGAATTACAAAACGCCAAATGCAAAAACTAATACTAATAACAAAACTGGTGTCTACAAACTAAACTGTGCCGACTGCCCAAGCATATATATAGGCCAAACTGGTCGCGGGTTTAACACACGATTTAAAGAACACAGACCAAACCCTAGGACGAACAAACAGAAGTCAGCATTCAGCCAACATATAATCGACAACAACCACTCATTCGGAACAATAGAAGACAGTCTAGAAATACTCCACATTTGTGAAAAAGGCAGAAATTTGGACACGTTAGAAGAATATGAAATCTACAGAGCTCATAAAAATAAGGACGCAAATGAATTTGTTCTAAACAAAAAACTAAATTTCAGCTCCAACTCGATATTCAATTCTATCATTCCTACCAAAGAAACAGCTGTCCACTGCCTCAGAGATAACAATGATAAACCTGGATAAATAGTCAGTCTGTCCCCGACCCGCGGCGTGACCGTGTACTTTGTTCAAGCAGGCCTGCATGTCTTAAAGCTTTACGTGTTGTAAATGTATATGTTCCGTGTCGTATTCGTGTTACGTGTTACGTGTTTATTTGATTGAACAATGACGAAGCCATCTAATCGGGTGAATAAAAACTTCACTAGTACTCAGCTGATGATGACAATGTCTCGAAACATGTACTGAAGTGAAACTCACGATTCAATGATGAGCTATTGACGTAAGTAATCTATTCTTACAATAACCATACTACAATCAAACTATCATTAAATCTCAAAACAGTCCACAATTTTTTTAAGTTAGATTTTTTTCAGCCTGTCTTGACTTTAATGTAAAAAAAAAAACTGCTTAAAGAGTAGATATTAAGATGTATAAATAAATAAATTATGTATTTTTTTCAGCATACTCGAGACCAAGTTCTTCCAATGAAGCACCAAAATGTAAGTCCTATTCAGGTGATCAAATCAATATCAATAATGAGTTCATTTTATTAATTTACGTTTTACTGAAATCAATAGGCAAACAGCAAATTTTCTAATTAGAAACGTGTCATCATTAAGTATGCCTACATAAAGTAGAATTTGTTTGGAATATTTGGTAACTTGTTTCGAGCTCTCTATAAGGACTAATAATCTGTTTGAAATCAAATTCATACCTAATGTGCTGACTGCTCATATAAAATTATTATACTGGAATAGTTCTTTTAAGGCCTATTTTGCTTGGAGCGATTGCAGCGATAATCGCTCCGCAATAGTAGCCGGGCACTGCTCTGACGGAGTTTGCGTTGTCCTGTTTTGCTTGGAGCGACTATCGCCAGAGCCGCTAGCTACAGTCGCGGACCACTGCCCCGGGTACCAGTCTGAGAATCGCGCCGCGACTGGTGCGATTACAGGGTGACCCACGAGGGGTGTCTCAAATTGATAACGGAAAAACGGCTTAACCTACAAGGATTAAATGAAATTATTTTCCACTAAATCGACCCCAAGGAATAACGAAAAAATATTTTAAACTTTTTCCTGATACAGGGTGTGCCAAAAACTGAGGGTCACTAGTTTGAATCTTGGAATTTTCAAAAGTAAACATATGTCATATTATACACCATTTTAAAGGTATTTGATAGACAAACATTTTGGCAAAAACAGAAATTAATAATCTTTTCCGTTTTAAATTGGCGGCAGTTTTTTTGGAGAAAATCTATTTTTTTAATACTCTGTGTTTTCTATACCAATGCACTTAGCCCTTCTCCGGTTAAAATTTCTTACTCGTTATCAAATTAGCTTTACTGTGATATACTACAAGTAAAGTTTTTTTTTAAATAATAAAAATTCCCCAAAAATTTAATTTTACAAAATTTTAAAATATATTTCAAAATTTTTAAATAGCAACATATGTCAAGTGGCACATAATTTTATAGGTTTTTCAATTCTTAACAACTTTGTAATCTACTCTTACTGCGGCATATCAACTCGAAAGAAAACTCAGAAAACTTTATTAATTTTTTTAGATATCACTCGTCTATTCAAGATTCAAATATAGAATGTTTGACTGTTCTTGGAACAGTCAAAACTTTGAGTAGAGCCTCGTCTTCTAACTCCTCACTGAAGAGAAAGGTTGCAACACACACTCATGACTACACTATTGTGAGCGCTGGTGTTCAAGTCAACGATATAAACAACTCATGGATCGCTGGCTCAGTGTTGGCCGCGCGGTCCGGGGCTCCCCCACTCTCTACTGGCAGAAGCCGGCGCAGCCCATACACTTACCGTACAAAACACACCTTTTTAGATGCTGCTCTGTTTGAATATGTAGAGATGAAAAATTGCTAATGCATGTCAAACTCTTTTTACAATTAAAAACTTAATGTATGTTTTGTTTCTTGCATAGAATAATCCATTTGAACTCTTTAAAACTACCCATTCACTAAACTTGATTTTAGATGGTTTTTTTTCACACAACTGACATGACTAGTTCAAAACTATGCATGGTAAAATAATAAGTAATTGCAAAGAAAGGATAGTAAGTACAAAATTTGTCATTTCACACTCGATTTATTAATGAAAACAACATTAAATATTTTTTAATAAAATAATTTTGGTGAGTTTCTGTCGCAGACCTATGTTAGTCGTAAACGTGATACTTTTTTGTTTAGCTGAGTGGTGGCAATATACTTTAATAAAAAGGTCACAAACAAACTTAATTAATTGCAATTTATTGGTGTCTTCCCCAAAACAAATTGAAATATTCTCGACATGCCCCTTAAAAATAGTGCCCACAGAATGGGAACACGCGGCTAAAAATAGTCTTTTTGTGTTAAAGTTTCCTTTATGTTGAAGCTGACAAGTTAATACATTGTAAACTTACTTAACTACCTTAAAACATCTTCGTGTGTACTAATGAGCTTACCTTTAGTTACATAATCAGTCAGTTGAGTATATAATAACTCAAATTGTCTTTTTCTTTTTTTTGAGGAATTATTGCACAAGATGTGAATAGTACATTATACCTAACGAATATCAACCCGACCTACCATCATAACCCATAGTGTTGACTGACCTTGTAACAGCCGGCTCCAATACTTTCTGTTACACGGGTCCCCGGTAGCTCAGATGAAGGGCGGGGTTGACTGAGAGCAATCTTGCTGATGACACTATTAATTATTTGTATTTGAAGGCACCACCTTGTTGAGGGTGATTCAGCAGGAGGGTAACAAGGAACCCCAAATCCTTTCCAGAAGTCAAGTTTTACTCAGTCAGTAAACAGGGATTTGATAAACGTGAGATGTTAATTGGCCGTGTCTTAACAAACCTTGAATTGAAAAAAAAAATCGTCTCACTAAACTTACTAATGTTAAATTGAAATCTTTCTTTGTAACTCCCAAGTAATAATATTAAGCTATTTGTTTAAATCCATAGGTAAACAAAAGTACTCAAAACTGAATGCTGAGACACAGATTTATTATGGTATTTAAAAATGTCAAACACAATTGTCTCAGTGATAACAAAAGAAAAGATTCTTAATCAGATAATAGTGGCTCTCCCTTGATTTAGAATTTATACCAAAACACAATCTAAATAAATTCAATAATCTCCTAGGATATTAAGGAACAGATAGTTCTCAATTAAAATAGTTCCCAAGAATTTATAGATAGGCAAAGATATCCTTATCGCTAAATAAACAGATTAAAGTATCAGAGAACACTTAATTATTACTTCACAATTCTTTAAATTATTCACAAAATAGACATGTCCTGACGGTGGCCACCGGAACACCTAAACAAAACAAAGTAGACACAAATATCTTAAGAGCTAGACATATTTACAACAAAGGATTCGTTGAAAGAGAATCCAGATTATGAATCCATTGTGCTGTATCGATGACAGTCCCAGTTTCCGTTGCCGAAAATAATCACCAGATATTGAAAATCTGAAGTCACTCACCGAGTTATGGGGCCCCAATCACACAGTCACCTCGACAATACACATCCGGTCGCGATACCGTGCAGCAGTGGCAGCCGCAAGTCGATCACGTGTGACGCAGGTCGCAGGTAGATAGGCAGTGGTAGAGTCCAAGTGTGTCGCTCATCCGACAGCATTCACAGCCTCCAGTACACAGGAGCAGCGAACAGTAGTAGGGTAGGCAGTAAAACCCTGTTACACAATTATATTATAGCCTAGTGCCATTCAAAATTGTTTCAATTAAATAAGATAATTACAATGGATTGTCTCTATTTTTGTACAATTGTGTAAATAATCTCTGGTAGAATGTCTAAGTATTATGTACACTTAATCACATTAGATTCATAAATCATTAATTTATTCTATTTCATGATTCAAATATAATTGATTTTTATTCACACTGTACTACATTTCTTTCATCTTAATTAATTGATTGTCTACAATAATTAAAGTACTTTTCAGCAATAAACTCTCATTTTAAAAGTAGCACACGGCTTCAAAATTAAGCTGATTTAATTACTGAATTGATTTGTCATAAACTCAGATAAATACTGTACAACAATTAAAGATATTTATCAATCAAATCTAGGTTAGACATTGTACAGGATAAATCAGTGACAAAGTATTACATAATTCACTAAAAGACAAAGAAATACACTAACAAATATAAAAATACATTGATAAACGTCGTAGGCTACAAAAAACATTAATTCATAAATTGACATCAGGTGAGAGTAAATTGAAATTAACCTACGTGTATTTTTCACAGGATAATTACTGTTTCTGGTTGTTAGGGCAACTCATTGCCAAAATATGTACTCTCATAATCAAAGATTTGAATATTGTTTGTCAAACAAAATGTCTATTACATCACAAGATGGGTTTGTTAACAAATATTCCTAATAAAGAATGTTACATATTTTATGAAAGGTCTATAAATATTTTTTTTTTAATTGACTACACATATATTATGAAATACCACTACATATTCTTATGAACCCAGATAGGCCTACATATTTTATGAAGATCACAAGCTACATAAAAACTGCATGAAAAATGTTGCATGATCAGGTAATGACAAATGGCATAGACATGGATTGACAAAGATTTACGACCAAGCTGATCAATATTCTACCTTAAAATTTCATATTGGACATATTTAAGTTTCACTAGTGGAGGTAATTTATACACTGAAGATTATTTATCGGGCTAACTTTACATTTTATTCCATACTTAGTTTGAATTTACAACCTCACTTGCACGGCCAATCAACATGTGGTTTTACTTTAATTAATTAAGTTAGAGACTTTTAATGAACAACTAAATTTTTGGTTTCTCAAATCAGTTATTAGCAAAATATTAAAATCTCCCTGCTTACCTCAGAGTTCTCCAAATTTGGATACAAATAATCCACTGACGACGGTGAGCTGAGGGCTAGATTCCTTGATCACTTCGTCACTCTCCGTTCAGATCCTAAATGAGGCCGTGGCGTAGGGTCCAAATAGTTGGCAGGTCCAGACAATCCAACTGATAACCGTCCCGGACTGATAAGCGGATTGACTCATGGACTCCGGTCGTGAGTGAAATTGGGCAGATGGTAATTTAACGGGTCCTTCACTTCAGGGTGGCAATCTGTATGCAGCTCTGTTTAACGAGTATTCCAACATTGAAGGCGCAACCTTCAATTAAGTTATATTTAATGGGGTGATCAGTCCCATTTGGAATGTAGTAATAAACGAGAGTGTTACAACCTCTGAAAAAATAAGCCCGGACGCATTTATTTCATTGTGCATGTTTTACAATGTACAGTTTTAGTTTAACCCTATCAACAAAATAAAAACAAAAACAAATTTCAGTTAAGTCAAACATGCTGTAACGAGTTAAGGAATCACTTACTCAGACACCTTGTTTATAATCTATTAGATTAGGTGCTTTACACGTGAAACGAAATGCCACTGCCTTTCTGTACTCTGTTGGTGCAGTTGTAAGCGGAACAAGATACAGTCCAACCTCAGTATAACGAATCTGAAAGGACCGAACTGAAAATTCGTTATATCAAGGATTTCGTTAAAACGAGGTTCGTTATATAGAGGTTAGGTTTGCAGGAATTTCGCTAAGTCGAGGTTCAGAGCCAGCGTCGGTCAATATAGGTCGGGATTTAACCTCATTAAAATACAATTAAAGTAGCATAGGCTACAATACTTTACAGTACAGTGTTTACATTGTACAGTAGAACCTAAATTATCCGGCATAATAAAGGGGAGGGATCTTGAATATTGCGCAATCATGACAATGGCATTGACCTTGGTACAGGTTAAAAGCTGTAAGTTTAAAATCACAGCTTGTTCTAACCCTCCTAAAACCTAGTCAAACACTGTTTTGAGTAGTCATAAACCATGTAAAGAACAAAACAAAACAGTAGAAAGTTTTGTAAGCTAACTGCTCATTCTTTCTCTTTGGTTTTGTTTTTATATTCTTTCTTAGGTTTCTCTTTATCCAAAAATTGTACAATTCACCATAGCTATCCCATATCGCCCAATCACAGCTTACTAAACATTACGTCGTAATGTTCATCAGTCCTCAGTGAATGAAATCAGTTCTCGGTTGCAACATAGCACGCGCAGCGACAGCAGACAAAGATGTAAAACGGAGCAGACGAATGTTAGCGCAAGCGATGACGTGATCTTTCCATTTAATTTGATAAAGAAACAGATTTTCCCAAAACAATAATTGGGTGGGGGATTTGTTATATCGAGGGAAAGACGTAGACAATTCGTTATGCAGAGGTTAAATTCGTTATATTGAGGTGTCTTATTTTAGCCGAAATCACGAAAAATTTGTTAAATCAAGGTCATTGTTATGGTTTGTTCGTTATGTAGAGGTAAAATATATATTGTGTCTTATGGAGAGTTCTAGGGGATTAACAAAAATTCGTTATATCAAGGAATTCGTTATATCGAGGTTCGTTATATCAAGGTTAGACTGTACAACCATTTTAAACACATACTTAGCGTACAATTAAAGATATTGATTAATTTAAATCACAGTTTTAAAAAACCGCACACTGTTGTTACATCAAACAAGTGTTGAAATGGGTGACAGTTAGCATGCACGTGAGGTACGCCGCCGCTATCTTGCCAGTAGAGAGTGGGGGAAGCGAGACCGAAAACAGCGCCCGCTACGCCACTGAGAGCGCAATCCAGTAGTTCTTTACATCGTTGGTTCAAGTAAACTATAAAAAATTGCGCAGTGGCCAAAAACAATCGCTGTAAGCAAAATGGCCACCGCAACAGCGATAGTCGCTCCAAGCAAAATAGGCCTTTAGACTAAAACCACTCAATTTATTATACTTTTCCAATTTAGGTCTATTTGGAACAGGTAATGATCATTTAATATTGGGTGGGTAGGCGTAAGTAGTTTGTTGTAATTTCAATTCGTTAATATAAATTAATTTTGTTCTAGATTCCAGTAGGTACCAATTATCTTCCTACCCCAAAGAACTTAATGACATGTTTGGGGCTTTGGAGTGCAAACTGTGTGCTGTACAGGTAAGTCCAGTTATATCCTGGTAACTTCGCAACCAATAATTTAGCATCGGTCGAATGGTTCTTTATAAAGATTAAGATTCCCAGTCGCCTTCGGCAGGGCCTGCTCGGTTAAATAGCTATATAACCTACATTTGTGTATAATAAAAGCAGAGGCGTGTTGGGGACATGAAGGGAGACATGTAGCCGAGGGGTAGGCCTACTGCGATTTAGCGTAATTCATTGGGCATGAGTCGCCTTAGCACAATTTAAACCTCGTTAATGGCTGACACAATAAGATTACCTTCAAGCTTTTTCATAAAACACAATAGCAGTGGTTGTTGTACTTAATCTGTTTACTTACACTCCATTCATCAGACCCAATAAGCAAATGATTCGCAAAGATTCGCCTATTGGGTCTGATGATGATTGGAGTGTCCAATTGAAATCGATCACCACTTACCATCTTATAATATATGTATTTACCGTCTTGTGAGTAAACAGTTCAAGTGTAAATATATTATTATAAGTGTTAATTGACATATTCTTTTGTGCTTTCATATAAAATAAAGCACACAAAAGGTAGATGTTTATATTAATCTCGTATTTAGCTTAAACACCTTACATTGTGCCTCTGTTATAGTGGAATTGGTCTCGTCGGTTAACCAAAAGGTCAATTACCGGTATTATTGGGATCACAGAAAATGATTACCAGTGTTGCTGAAATCACAAGTTATAGGTCAGATGTGTTGCCGCAGTTGTGAGAGACGATCACCGCTGTTACTGAGACTACTAGATAGGCTACGTGTGTTGCCCTGGTCATAGGAAACGATCCTCCTGACTTGTGGCGGAGAACGCAAGTTATGCTCACAGGTGTTGCCTTGATCACAGGAGACAATTAACTAACGGTGTCTATGAGACTGAAAATCATGCTCACGGAAGGTGCTACAATAGCAGAAAACAACCAAAGGCAGTTAAAATTTATTTAAATGTTAAATAGTTAAAATGGTACCTTATTTTTACTGTCAAATGACCAAAACAAATTATCCCAAAAAATGCAGTCATCCGAACACCTACAATCCCCAATTTTTGGTATAGTCGGCTATATCGCCTATATACCGTAATTTGATCATTACAAAATACTTAAGATGCTGTGAGTAAAAAAAACTATTAATTGATTACCGTATATTTTTGTGTTTTTAATGTTTGCAGGTAACATCACCAATTGTGGCTAAAATGCACTACAGTGGGAAGTCACATATGAAAAAAGTGAAGCAATGGTTTGAAAGGTGGAGTTTGAAAACTGGAAATCCGTTGCCAAAGTTTGATCACAATGTTTCAACCACCTCAGTAAGTAGGTTTAAGTGAACATTGCTTTTAGGATATAATATTAGCTGAATATTACCCAAACATTGATTTTAGCCTAGTAGTTTGAACAACTAACCATCATTCAGGAGTTTTGATCACCTACCTGACTCTGCTACGGTAGTTTTTCTCTCTAATCGTGCCAAACCTTCCCTTATTTTGGCCTTTGAGGCAAAAAAATCTGTTGTGCTGTTAATTGAAAGTTTAGGTCCATATTCACAACTCAATGGTTCCTAAAACTTCCATTGTATCAACATTTTATATTAGATTAGCCTTGCTGCTTGTATTACTCAAATATCTTAGGAACTCAAGAACTACAGGCAAAAACAACACCGGTAATATAAAGTATTTCAAGTTCTTGAAACTGGAATGGAAAATAAAACATATTAGTGATGGTCGGATCCGGATATCGGACTACCGGATCCGCCGGATCTGAGCTGGAACCGGCACCCGATCGGATCCAAAAAATTCTGGATCTTGAGCTGGATCCGGTTTTGATAGATCCAATTTTATCCGATTTCCCCCCGATTTTTTTACTAACATAAAGCTGTCTGTATCCATGTACAAGACTGATTTTTTCCCGATTATTTTACTAACACAAAGCTGTCTGTATCCATGTACAAGACCAATTTTTTTTTGCGCTTGGCGATCTGCTACTAGTCACCCTAAAAATGTTGTCTATACTACTGTACTTCTACTCCCAGTGGATGCGTAACACCAACACACGGCACCTGTTGGTCTTATAATATTTCCATCGCTTCTCTGTGAATGGTTTGCCCTTTTTTTTACGTGCGGTTGCCATGATATCAATCTATGTTAGCCTAACATGACACTTTTTTAACCCACAGCTTAACAATCACTCAATAATTACTCAACCGCACTACTCATCCAACAGCACAGTCCAACTGACAGCCGATAGAATACAATACTCTTCCGGCCACAAAATACTGTCATAAAATACTTTACGTACGACATTAGGAGACCGACTTTCGTTTTATCAACTTAGGGATATAAAATAAATAACTGTAAGCGATTAACCGTTTTAAAGGGTGTTCGGAAAACCCGTCCGATATTTTAAGGTGTTATTTATTGTACATAATATGAAAATAAGCAAAAGTTTCCATAATGATATGTACTAAGCCTTATGGTTTTCTGTTTATAGGTATATCTGTAAGTGTTTTTGCTTAAAATACTAGCTATATCTTAAGATATCGCCTATAAACTCTAACTATAAAAGTTAATAATTGACACCTAAAAAGTCAAACTTTACAATTAAATTGGAATATATGCCTAATATGATTTTACCGTTTGGTGTACATTTAAATAAGTAAAAAAAAAAAAAAATAGTTATATCAAAATAATATACTCTACTACAGTACCAAAACAATAATATAGAACCCTTAGTAATTACATTGTATGGTACTTGAATTACATTCAAATTTAAATTAAAAAAAAAATGTACGCAAAAAAGGAAAACGCGAACAACGCTGGTCGAATGTTTTTAGAAAGCGTAGTCCGACCAATGCTACGGAAACTTTGGCTGCGTGGTGGGAGATTGGTACCGCTCTCCCCCTGCACACCCGGCTCGCAAACAAGTCGTATGCTAACATTACTGTATATAGCCGTTTTTTTTCAATTTTGTTCCAGGTCCAAAGTAATGATAGCCGGGCATATGCACTTCCACCGGTATAGTATAATACGTTACTAGTCCTGAAAATAAGTGTTTACTGGACGAGTGTGGTCCTTCCCGTGCTAGACAAAGTCGAGTTGTGTTTTTAGTCTAAAAGTAAGTCTAAAAAAGTCTAAGAGAGGTTATGTTTTTGTTTATTACCACTCGCCACCCAAATACAGTATAATCAGCTGATTGGTGTCCAGTAAAACTCATTACAGTACAGTAGTACGCAATGAAACCCCATTTGATTAAGCTGGCGGCAAACAGCTGTTTTCTATATAAATAAAATTAGAGTTTTGTCTGTACATTGCTCAGAATGATATATTTTTAGGTTATTTTTACATTTTATACGTTAAAGAAGAAACAAGTCTTATCTCTATTTCTGTCTGTCTGTCTGATTGTCTGTCTGTCTTTCTGTCTATCTGTAACACTCAAGATGGCATTTTACGCTATCTTCTCCAGGAAAACGAGAGTACCTATCAAGATCCAAGTCATTTTAATGTATTCACTAGATTGGTGAGGGTGTCTTTTGCCATTAAAATATGGCCTGACTACTTTGTAAATAAAATTACGGACGTTCAAAAATGCAGTTTTGTGCGATTTTTGTCCAATTGTTATCACATAATCATCTATGAAGTAACGAACAGCTGTTTGGATCAAAATTATTTTTTCTAGTGGTCGCTGATATGTTTACAAATGTTGTTTACAAATGTTGTTTACAAATACCGCAACCATTTTCGATAATGTTTTAAAAGCAAATCCCAAACAAGTGAGATTAAAAACGTTTTTCTTACATAACGGATTTAATTACTCGCATAGTGTATATTATAGTGTAACCGTAAATTAAATTAAATAACTAGGCATCATCCAGGTCAGGAACCAGAGATTCTTTGTATATAAAATTGTTCTTGAGTTTTGATAACCAGAAAGAAGACCTTGAATCAGTGTTGTATATGGCTGGAAAACTTAAATTTACTATTAATCGTCGCCAATAGCTTAGAAACAAGGTTTCCACTCATTGACGCTTCAATGGCGATTGTGTAAAGCGTAAAGTAAAAAATCACGACTGCAGTGGGTGATTGTAACAGAGGTTTCCGGATGATGCTAAACTCGCTTTTCCAATGTGTCACTTTCTTTTCCTACCATTGACTATATAATATATAGTCAATAGTTAAATCGTCTATAGTACTTAATTTCATATAGTAAACCGTCATTTCGACAGCATTTCGGGTCATCTTCGGTCCAAGCAAAATATAAATTGTTATGATAAATTTTGATGACATTAACAAAGATTTCAAATACTAATTTTATATGTAGGCCTACTTTGTTATGCTTAAAGCGTAGCAAATTCCCTAATTAAGTTCTGTTATTTGTGTGTATGTCCCGCATGGGTAACGCATTAATGTCCTTATTTCTCAGTGTTTCACAGAAAGTACAAGAGAACCTTGATAATGAAAATGTCAACTTGAATAAAGTGTTAAATTCTGAGTTTGGGGTAGTACCTTGAATACTTTTAAGTTTTAACCATTGTGGAAAGTAACTTTCAATTATAGGCCTACCTTAGGGCTATGCCTCATAGATCTATAAAACATTTTATAGTTTAATCATTGGGTTTAACATATGGACCAACATGATCCGAGTGACATAAGAAGGTTTCAACTGACAACGATAAGATTCCCGTGCGTAGAACGGGCACACAGCTAGTCTGGAATAAATACTTGCATGGGAAGTTTGTCAAAATAGTGTAGTGTGGTGCAAATAATTTTTACTGCCGAATTGTGTTCCAGGTCCACAGTAATGATAGCCGGGCCTATCATTACTGTACTAGTTAAATAATCTGTAGAGTATGTGAAACTCTACAGGTAAAATAGCCTTTGTCTGTGTACAAGAAGATTATCTGTATCCATACAGGGTGAATACAAAAGTCAAGACTCCCCCATCTAACATTTTTCTAAGTTAGAACACATTACAGTCTTGTACACAGACAAACAGGGTACCTATTTTACCTGTAGAACTTCACATACCCGTCTATCAGTACTGTGGACCTGGAACGAATTTAAGATTTAAGGAAGATATTAACAAGAGGTGATTCAGGCATCAATAAATTGGATGGTGCATGCAAAAACCACGATATATGCACTTCCACCGGTAATAATTTTTACCGCCGTGTTAACCGGTTAATCGTTATTGTACATAGATACAGACAGCTTTGTGTTAGTAAAAAAAATCAGGAAAACATCGGTCTTGTATGCCTGGATCACCCCTTGCTTATCTCTCTTTGTTATTCGTTCCAGGTCCACAGTACTGATATCTGGGTATGTGAAACTCTACAGGTAAAATAGCCTTTGTCTGTGTACAAGAAGATTATCTGTATCCATACAGGGTGAATACAAAAGTCAAGACTCCCCCATCTAATATTTTTCTAAGTTAGAACACATTACAGTCTTGTACACAGACAAACAGGGTATTTTACCTGTAGAACTTCACATACCCAGACTATTTTACATCAGATTTTAAATTTGTGTCTCAGGGTAGTTCACGAATTTCTCGTTCTTCTTCGATCACATTGCGTATACCTCATCATGTGACTACCGTTTATGACAGGGCTTTTGTTGTTACCGCTTGCCGTCTTTGGAACAGCCTACCCCTAAAAGTTCCAAAAAGTCCATAAAATTCGTTAAAAATATTAATTATATTATTTAAAAATGGCGGCCATTTTCCAAAATGGTGGCAAACTTGAAAAGTGGAAAACTGTGTATTTTATAGTCTTAATGGAATGTGGATGCAATTTTAAGACTTATTTGACGTATTTTCTCTTCGCATTTTCGCTATAAACCTACTTTTTTTGGAGTTACATGATGTAAAATGTACACCGGAAGTCATTTTTCCATAGGCTGTAACTCCTAAACGAGTGGGTTTATCAAAAAAATGTCAAGAATAAAAAAGTTTTTAAATTGCCTGTTCTATCCGAAAACATGATAAAATACAGGGTGTTCCATAATAAATTTCAAAGTTGGCCGCCATTTTGGAAAATGGCGGCTGAATTTTGAAAAACTAAAATCATATTTTTAACTGCCACAAAAAATAAAGGAATGTCGCCCATTTAAAGTTTTCTCTAATTCTTACCGTTTCCGATATCCCAATGGTGGCCTCCTTGAGTTGATCACCCTGTATACAGGGTGTCCATAAAAAACGTTTCAGGACTTTGGGAAATGAATCCCCATACTAAAAGGAAGAAAAAAGTTTATGGGAAGGTATGTCCGAAAATGCATATTAACCCAGATATCCGCCATTTTGTTTTTTATACAAAAATATTTTTATCTGTGAAGTTTTTTATTCGACGATTATGAAATTTGGTATACATGTTAATATACACAAGACCTATAATAGAAAAAATAATAAAGTTGTTCCGATTGTAAATTTCAAAATGGCGGCCGTTTGAATTTTTCTAACTTAAATAACTCAAAAACGGCTAATTCTATGAAAAAATGTCAAGAATACTTTTTTTTAGCATTTTTAATTTCCTATCAAACGATACCAAGATCAAAAAGATCGGACAAAAGATAACTGAAATATAACGTTTTTTGTGTAAAAATAAGGCAAAGTTAGTAGAGGAACCCTTAATTTTTGCCTTATTTTTACACAAAAAACGTTATATTTCAGTTATCTTTTGTCCGATCTTTTTGATCTTGGTATCGTTTGATAGGAAATTAAAAATGCTAAAAAAAAAATTCTTGACATTTTTTCATAGAATTAGCCGTTTTTGAGTTATTTAAGCTAGAAAAATTCAAACGGCCGCCATTTTGAAATTTACAATCGGAACAACTTTATTATTTTTTCTATTATAGGTCTTGTGTATATTAACATGTATACAAAATTTCATAATTGTCGAATAAAAAACTTCACAGATAAAAATATTTTTGTATAAAAAACAAAATGGCGGATATCTGGGTTAATATGCATTTTCGGACATACCTTCCCATAAACTTTTTTCTTCCTTTTAGTATGGGGATTCATTTCCCAAAGTCCTGAAACGTTTTTTATGGACACCCTGTATATACAAAACCCTTTACCTATAGGTTTTTATGTTAAGTGGCAATGAACATTGCCGGATTTAGGGTCCTTGTGGCCCTTAGCCATATTAATCCTTGCGGCCAACTTAACAACAACCGATCTTTTAGGTGATCTTTGGCATAACTTAACCACAATTGCTACAAAATCGTGAACATCTCCCGTGATCATGGGGACATCATTATATCCATTTGTAATTGTGGCAAAATATTACATTTTTTCTCCTAAAAATTATTTTTTGTATAAAACGCTGCCACACTATTAGTAAATCTGGCACTGGCAAGGAACTGCCATAAACTTAACTTATATATTGTTTATATATTATTACTTATATATTGAAGATAGGCTCCTTGAAATATTCTTAAATAGTGTACGCTGTTTTCCTTCAGCCTTACCAAGACCCTTATTCATACGGCCACACTGGGAGTTTCTTAGCTGTTTAGAAAACGTTCTACACACAGAGAGCAAACACAAGGCTACTGCTTTTGATAAAACCTAGGTGGTGTCATTTTGTTGAATAAATTACAATTTGTTGCTGTAAACCCCGACTAAATTTTTCTGATAATTTATCTTCAGGTTGTTCCATCTTTGGTAATTACTTGTTAAGTAATTAGCCTACACCTTAGATATCCAAATCCAATAAAAATAATTAATTTAACTTTTCCAAATTGTTTAATTTTCTCTGTGTTTAAAAAATAATCAGTACCGTATTTTAAAACCTACCTAACACAGACAAACTTAAGTATTAGATTGATTGGTTTCAATTAACAACTTTCAATTAATATCAAATTGGTAATAACAACTGTTTTATATGTCTTGGAGCGGTAACTATTTTCATTGTTTAAACGCACAATATTTTAAAGAAAACAGTCATATAGTTGGTCATTTAACTTTCAAAATTTTAATTAGGCTACTAAACATTGGTCATAACATGCCTTATAAATTAAAATCAATAAGACTCTATCATTAGGGTGAATGGAGAAAGATGTTTTTATTTAAATTAAGCCTCCCAAACATAATCTATTTTTTTTTAGACAGTTAACTTTAATTTAAAACTGTTGTGTATTAATTTGTTTCACCCTAAGTGTTAAAACCGTTTTAATTATGTTTTTTAGATGTCTCTAATGCCGGACTATTGTGAGCTGTGTGACGTCAAATTGTTAACAACCAATGATAAAATGTTGCACTACGCTGGAAGAGGCCATAAAATGAATGAACAGGATCCTGCCAACGCTAAAAAGAAGAAAAAAACGTAAGCTTGTAAATTCCTTTCCGGATTTTGGGGATTTAGAGACTCTGTATAGCAACAGACTATAAATGCATCATAGCATAGCGATGTCGAGGGTTTAGGCTCTGGTGCTGCCTTTCCGTAGAGTTTATTGTTGTAATTGACTGGCTAACCTCTTGCTTAGTATGATACATTTGAGGGACAGACTTTTTATGAATGGGCAAATGTAAGATTTCAAGTGGATGCCTACTTCTTTAAAAAGTTCATGCTCAATAACAGCCAATAAAGTTTGAGACAAAGCGTTTCAGAAGAAAAAAAAACTTAAAAGAAAATTAAAACCCTAAGAACAGTTTGCATGTTGTAGTTTTTTTTAAATGTTAATGTGTTTAGTTATTTTTTAAATGTTACTATTAAAAATAAACGGTTTCAGCAATCTGACACACTGTCTCCTGTTAGCTAGTCAACAGCCTTTATCATATTATAGGGAAAATCAGTTGCTATCATTTTTAAAACGCTTTTGAGAAATGGGAGTTCACACTATTTTGTTTGGAATTATAAGAGCCATAACATAGTAGTTTTAATCAAAACAGGCTTTTTCAAAAATCAGACTTTTGTTATTTGATGGGGTTTTTATGGGAAAAAACATAAGCTATAATAACTATTGAACCATACGTTTTACAGCAATAAGAGTTATACCATTTTGTTAATAATTTAAAGGGCTATAACATACTAAATTTTTCTCAAAATCGTTTGGGCCATTTTCTATAAAATATGAATTTTCCGTTATTTGATGGGTTTTCACAGAAAAATTGCCATTAAAAATCTAAATTTCAGAAAAATGACAAAAATGCTTGGATATATAGTACACTTCCGATGAACCAAGGTTGTTGGGACCGAGATTTTGAGGTTTTGACATTACCTTATTATGAAGTCAAATACTTGTAAAATACATCTTAAACAACAACATAGTGAATGAAAAATTATGTTATTTTGATGTAACCTTTTTTTTAATAATGTAGTATGGCTAAAGAAAAAATTAACAAAACAAGCTTGTTAATCACTTTTTAATCGTCTTGAAAACTTAAAACACAGTAAGCCTAGCCTATTATTAGTATTATGACCAATACACACTTCATTATTTAAAACAAAACACTAAGGTGGATCTTTCTAGTTTTAAAAGCATAAGCACTGTAATAATGCATCATTAAAACAATATATCTTATTTTAATGTCTAGTAACAATTTTGTCTTTTAATTTATTCAGTACCTGGGGACCGAGCTTTGCTCGGGAAACTAAACATTAAAGAATAAATGATAATAAATTTAAGCTTTAATTTAAAATACCTTATGTTACACGCTTTCGTAGAACAAATTGTCCTAATAACAACACCGTTATGGTGTATATGGCATAATTAATGAAAATATTGATTGACATCAAATCAAGAGTTAAGTATTTATTTTATCTATACAAAAGGCACTTTAGGATTGGATAATGAGTAGTTTTTTTACGTTGAAGAATCTTTTGCAGCCCTTGATTGGGGTTTCCATTAACAAATATTTCCTGGATATTTAGTTTTTGTTTTGGCTTGGTTTAGTTGTATTACTTAGGCCTATTCACACAAAAATGTAGGTAGCCTAGCCTAGTTTAGGAGAAAACCCCTTGACACTTAAAGTCATCACACTCTTGTGTATGCCCACAGATAATATAGGCTATAATGCTTAAGGATAGATAGCTTCCAGAGCAAATTCAAGTTATGACGTTTGTTGTTTCGTAACATTTGTCGACACACGACACGCTGCAACACAAACATTTTAAAACTGTTTAGGCAGTTTAGGAGAAAAATCCCTACACACTTTTCAAAATCATCACAGTCTTGGGTACAGATAACATAGGCTATAAGGCTTAAAATACTATAGATAACCTCCACTCTCCAGAGAAATTTCAAGCTGGTGACATTTGTCGGTTTGCAACATTTTATGACAGGCGACGCATGCTTTAACTTGGGATATGTTATATCATATCAATTTGTCAAACCTAGCTCAGTTTGAAAACGTATAACCTATTTAAGTAAAGTTTTGTAGCTAAGCCACATAGGCTAGGTCTAGCTCGACTAAGGGGTAAATGTTTCCCGGGTTGATCCATGTTGGTGAGTACCAAAAAGGAAACTTAGGTATAAACATGGTTGTATATCCAAGTTTGGCTGTCCTCGATATAGGCCTAATTGCAATATTTTATTGACACTGACAAATAATAGGCTAGGCCTATAAGTTAATTGGGAGTTTATTTAATATCTAGTCCTAAACTTATAGCCATCTTAAGGCATACATAACTTACACCACAGAGAGGTAATATAAACACTCTTCCTCTGTAGGCCTAATAAAGCTACCTATATTTTATTTGGGTTAGGATTAGTAATTTTTTGAGAGTTTCATTATGTACTGAACACACCTAGATATAGGGTATTTGTGATTCATGAAATTATCCATTTATAAAAAGCAACCTTACCGAGTTACCTAATGATGTACCTAGTGCCAGTACTTAAAACAAAAATTAGGGCTTAAGGCCTATGGATATTGGTTTCAAAACATAGCAAAATAAGACATTTTTAATCTAGTAGCCATTGATTGGTGTGAATAAACAAAACATGGATGAACAACCAAGTCAAGCTAAGTTACTAACCCAGTTGTTCAGGCTTGTAGGATAACCTGAAAGGATCCATCTCAACACGGCTTAAACTTTAGAACAAATCCTAGTGTTTGATCTATTTTAAGTTTTATTTTTCTGAAATAGATAGCTAAATTATCCAGTGCAATCATCCCACACTGCTAATTGCAACACTCTTAGTTAGTGCTAGTAGTAAGTTAGGTTACAATTAATTATTTTCCCTATGACCGATTCAGTGTAACATCAGTAAGAATCAGACGACATTATTGACAACGACACGACACGTAACCAACGAAAAGAGTAATTTAGTGATGACAATTATTATTAAAACCATTAGAAATATTAAAAATAAGATATATCGCTCGTTTATATTGGCAAAAGTATTAAATAAACAGTAATAAAGCTGAGGCTGAGGCTAATATAAGGATAGTTTTTTCATGGATTAGAAACTCATTACTCTCTCAAGTTTTATAATATAATACAAATTCTTATACGTCAAACGATTTAACGAACTGTAGCAAAGTCGAGTCGTTCTCTTTCTCTTTGTCACAAGTTGACAAAATTGTATGTCAGAAGCCAATCAATGAATCAATTCAATACACATCAGATTCAGAAGTAACAGTCACCTGGACCTCGGAAAGTGCTTCAAGAGCTTTCTGCGCATGCGCAAGCTGAGGTGCCCGTGGGTACAGAACGTCTCGTTATGTCTTAAAATGTAAACAAAATGACAATAATGGCGGAATGTTTTCTCATAAGGCCCATGTTAAATTTTCAAAAGTTTGTACTCATATTATGGCGAAAATAGATTTTTCCTGGCTATACCACTGGTCTATAACTTATTTTTGACACAGAACTTAGTTATTCCGTAAATATAAACGTTTTTGTTAGGGCCGATTCCCAGATCGAGTTGACAATTATTCAAACTTTACTCGTATTATATATAGGATAGCTTTTGCTGCACAGTAGGAATTGTCGTCGCATATATTTTGACCTTGGTTTTTGATGATTGAATCCCTGTTTTCTTGATAAGTTGTTTCCTCTTTGAATATTTTTTTATGCCTGCTAAAATGATTAATATTCTATGTTCCCAGCTATGCTACTATTGACCTCTCTGGCACCCGTTTTGGAATTGGTGCTGATTTTTCATCTGACAGTAAAGCAGCAATTACTCAAGGTATTACTCAAGGTTCTGAGTTTACCTGTGAGCCGTGCGGTGTTAAAGCACAAACTCAAGAACAACTGGACCAACACTTGGGCGGAAAGAAACACAAAGACAAACTTAGGAAGAAGGAATCTCAAGGAGTGCCAAAACCTGGTAAGCAAAATTTTATTAGTCTAGTTAGAAGTTACTAGGGATGGACGGGTCCTGAAATTACAGGAGATTTTTGGGAAAAAAATATTCCCGATTTTTGGAATGGGATTACATTTTATAAGGGAATTTTTCGGGACGGTATTTTATTATGATCGTTGGTGATTTTGCCGCTTTGCGAGTGACAATTACGCCGTGACCGTGAGTCATTATGACAATCGCACCGTGACCGCGGAGTCATTTTGACCATCGCGCCGTGACCACGGAGTTATGTTGACAATCACATTGTGACCAAAGAGTCATTTCGACAATCGCGCCTTGACTGCGAGTCATTTCGACCTTCGCGCCTTGACCAGTCACACGTTTCTAGAAGTATAAATTTTTACCGATTTTTTTGTTTTTATAGATCAGTGCCACAAACGGTAAAACTTGATTTTGTTTTCTTTTTTGGTAACTGCAATACTCAAGACTTTTAAAACAAACCCTTTTTATGCACAGAAAAAAACCGTCCTGTCTCGAAAATCGGGAAGGAAATAAAAATCCTGTCCCGTCCCGAACTAAAAATTTGATTCTGTCCATCATCAATTTCACATCATCTAAATAAATAGAAAAATAGTACCGAAATACCTGTGTCGTTGTAAGCTATTGATAAGCAGGTCAAAAACACACTGAAGTTTTTGTAGAGATGCTCGGTACCAAAATTTTAATTTTTCAGGGACGGGATTTTTTATTCCCTCCCAATATAATTTAAGGAATATAATTTGTTAAATAGTGTACAGTTTTAAGTTTGTAATGCAGTAAAATTGTACATTAATAATAGCAACAAAAACAGAGGAAAACATTTTAAAGACATCATTATACAATTTACCTTTGACTGTTTTTTAAACGGGTACAGTTTCTTAACTGGGCTATGCTAATATCGATTGAAACTATCGAATTGGAAATATTGATTAATAACCGATATTTTTTAATATATCTATTATAAAATTAAACTATCATAACCTAACCTAACCAACCAAACTTGCTGATGGTGAAAAAATCGCATGAAGGTTTACTAATCGAATCGATAGTTTCATTCGATATTAGCATAGCCCAGTTAAGAAACTGTACCCTTTTAAACTAGCCTTTTCAATTCAGTTCAAGTAAAATTGTAATGCTTCTAACATCAACTTATCAGCTATTAATTTTATTGATTATGCAATGCATGAAAGGTTGGATGATGAGTGGTTCATCACAATCAGTGGCAGTGAGAGGTTATATTCATATATTCATATTCTTTATTCATACCTATTTTTTTGTACAAAGGTGGTACAATGAATAGCGTCAATAAAAAGAAATACAATTACAATTGACAATTAACAACAATGATATTAGTAAATATTAACAAGTAAAATAATAACAACCAGTCTTTATTTAGTTAAGAATGAAAAACAAAATTAAAATAACTTAATTCTACCTATGCCAGGGAGGTGGAGAACTCTTCCATAGAATAAATAGCTAAATTTAATATATAATCTTTGAGTAATTTTTTAAACTTATTAAAATCTGTTTCTTTTTTATATTTTTGGGGATAAATTTTAAAAATCTTTGGCCTGCATTGGACGGTTTTTTTCATAAAACTTGAGCCTATGAGGTTCAACAACCCCACTTTTTTTCCTAAGCTTATAGTTGTGGCTTGTCATTGTTTTTTCGCTCAAATCTTGTTTTCTAGCGATAAGAATAACTTCATATATATATTGCCCATAAACTGTAAACATTTTTAGATGTGTAAAGTGTTGTTTGGCTGAATCATCCCCCTTTAGCTTGAGCATTATCCTGATAGCTTTTTTTTTGCTGTTTTAAAATAGAGTCCATATTTCTTTGTTTTGTTGAACCGTATAATGCTATGCCGAATTGGATATGGGAATGTACATGAGCAAAATATATATTCTTTAAAGTGTTTATATTGCAATAAAAAGACATTTTTGATAGAGCATAAACTCCAGAATTAATCTTTAGCAGGATCTTTTTAACATGCTCATCCCAATTTAGGTGCTCATCTATCATTAAACCTAGAAAATTTATACTACTTTCCCTATTGATGTTTTGTGATTTATATTCTAGTGTTGGATCTGAAGATTTTCGGTTTTGTTGTGTTTTAAACGTTATGAACTTAGTTTTTTCAGAATTTAAAATAAGGTTATGATCATGTAAGTAGTCTCCAATGTTATTAAGTTCATTAGAAGAAAAAATTTGTATCTCCTCCAATGAGTCAGCTGATAAAATTAAATTTGAATCATCAGCGTAGAGACATAATTTTGAATTTTGTTTATGAATTATCATATTTTCCATGCCCCTCAAGTAACACAAAAAGAGCAAAGGCCCAAGAATAGAACCTTGAGGCACCCCAAATTTGACTGGTCTATAAGCTTGATTTTGAGTTTGATTTCATTACTTTATTTTTATTCGTTAGATGTAGGGATGGTCAAGTCTCGAAATTTCGGGAAATTTTCGGGAAGTTTTAAATCTCGTTACACGAGACGAGATTTCTTTTTGGCCGAGATTTTTATCGAGACGAGAATAAAAAAAAAAAAAAAAAAAAAAAAAAAAAAAATAAAAACGCCTGCAGAAAGTCAATGCAATACCCGCAATACAGGAGCGTGTTGTAGTTGCGTTTCCTTTGCGGAGGCATTCTTATTTAATTAATTCTATAAATGTAAATATTACTTTAATTATTTTAATAATATTACTTTAATAACATTTGAGAAGTTTTGTTAAGTGTAAGCAGTGTGAGGAATGTTTTATTACTATAAAAAGTCAAAACAAGTAACTATTTTATAAAAATTAATATTGCTTTTATTTTATGATTTATTTTATTTTAGGATAAGTTGAACTCTATCCTAACTGATATCACTATGTTTCCTAATCGTAGGCATTTTTAATAAGTTAGGCGTGATTAATAAAAAAATGTTATGCTGATGTTTTTTAATAAAAGATTGTAAATATTCTTGCCTATTATCATTATTTTTGTATTTAAACAGTCATCTAACAATGTTACAAAATCAGGTAAAAATTTTGAACGTGCATTTCCCGTTGTGTATGAGAAGGGAAATCCCGTCTCGATCTCGTCTCGAAATTTTATGAGAAATAAAAAATCTCGTCTCGAACTAAAAATTCAATCTCGTCCATCCCTAGTTAGATGAGATATTTCTACATATTGAGACCTATTTGTTAAATATGAAGTGAACCAATCAAGAGATCTTCTTGATACTCCCAGAATTTTAAGCTTTTCTAGAAGTTTAGAGTGTTTGACACTATCAAAAGCTTTTGAAAGGTCCATGAATATACCTGTTGTACACTTACAACAAAAGATACAGCTGCACTGACAACAGATCTCCCCCTTCGGAAGCCATGTTGATTTTCATCCAGCATTTTAAAACTCTCTAAATATTCATAAAATTGTAGATACACAGCTTTTTCATATATTTTGGAAATGGACGGAAGTATAGATAACGGTCGATAATTTGATACATTTGATGTGTTGTTCTTTTTATGTAATGGAATTAATTTTGCTTGCTTTAATTTTTCTGGGAATATTCCTGATACAAATGAAGAATTTATGAAATGGCACAGAATTTTATTAATGTTATTTTTAACACCCTTAATCACTGTGACTGGGACTTCGTCATGGCCACAAGAATACTTGTTTTTTAACGAATTTATGATTCCTTCCACCTCCCTCTCACTTATTGGTTTAAGTTCAAATTTTTGCTTAATGTACAAGTCATCGCTAAAACTATATGTGGGTACATCACAATTCACAGTATTATTATTACTAGTCAGATCATTCACAATATTACTGAAATGCTCATTGAACATGGTTGCAATTATATTTGGATCAGACACAATGCCAGAATCTTGCTTTAAAGTTTGCTTTAAAGAACTAACGAAAATATTGGAGAACTATCGAGGACTAACGAAGAACTAACGATTGATATATAGATGTAGACATTTCTCATCAGAAAATGGCGCGCGCTAGAAACCGGAAGTGTGAAGTTAGCGTACCCACTTATTATCGGCTATAACTTTTTTATATTTTAGAACTAACGATAAAAATTGGGAACTATCGAGAACTAACAATGAACTAACGATTGGTATGATCAAAAGTGGATACGCTAATATGAGTACACCAACTTCACGGACCTTAAAACTAAGTAGTAGAAATAGAACAAAACTACCATTAAAAAAAATCCCAAACCATGTATTTTGTGTCTCAACCATACATTTATTTATATTTTACATACATACTTATCCTCTTATGTTATTCTTGGTTTTGGGCATTGATTATACCTTTCCATTTTCTCGTATACCTCCAGGTCTACAACGTTACTCCTCCCCTCTCCATGTCCCTCTTTGACCAATCAATCCATCTTCTTCTAGGTTTTCTTCTCTGTCTCCATCCCACAACCATAAATTCCTTTTTCCTATGAATTCTTAGGTAAACTGTTCCACTTTGGCCCTCTTCAACCAATTACCACAACTCGCAAGTTCTTTCCTATCATCATTACCTTAATCTTACTCTATACTCAGTTATTCACAACTGCATCACCAACAGTTTACGTTCTTGGTCAGTTTACGTTATATCCTTTGATTATTTTAACTAACAATTTCCAGAAAGACTATTTGAAAATTTAATTAAATTGAGATAGTTCTTAAAGAGTTGAATTCGACGATGTCAACTTTGAGTAACAATAACAAAGATCATATGTTGGCCATCTTGTACCTTTTAGCGAATTTCCGATATAGGGAATAAGCTATTACCATAGGTCTCATTGTAAGACCTGGACCCAGGATCGATTTACTTTTTCGTTTTGAGTATACAGAGGCCAAAAACATCCTATGTTCAAATTCATTTAAATGTTTACATTAGCACGATGACTTGAGAAAAAATTAACTGATTTTTATGCAATTGGTGCAAACGTTTAAACCTACATGCAAACAAGTTCGTAAACAAACTTGATAGGACT